CCTATAGTCAGTTTTTTCTTTTTATCTGATTTCAGATTTATTTTATTTTAGTTTTATCTTGTTGCATATTCAGGAATGTCAAGTTTGAAATAAAGTAAGGTATATACTGAGCACTTTTTCAGAACTAAAACTATGTCTTCAAAATACATGTATGTTGCATAGTATGTGCTCAATAAGCATCATTGAATAAATAATGAATCAATCTTCCAGTCAATAAACATAAACCCAAAGTTATTCTAGAACATTACTGCCTCTGAAGATTCAACTAAAAGTGAAAACACTTTTCTAAGTTAGATTTAAAGGGCACTGAAGACAGGGTAAATATAATAAAGTATTTTCAAATTTAAAATAAATAAGTTAAACTATATTTAGCATCTACAAATTAGTAATCTTTATAGTTAGGATGGGGAGTATGAAGATATTAAATCATGGTCTCAACTTTGAAAAACACACCATTAAATCAGAAGAGTGTAGCATATGTTCAAGAAAATTAAGTGTTAATGAATGGTAAACAGTTAAAAGATCAGAGAGATATGTATGGAATGGGATAAAAAGAATGTTTGAATTTAAACATGAAATTAGGTATAATATGATGAGGAAAAGGAAAGGGTGTTCTTTGTAGAGGAAAAATGAAAATCAAAGTGAGGAAAGTATAAAACAAGCATAAACAAAATTATAGACATGTAAATTCTCACGATTTCTATGAGAAAAAGGCACTAAACGCTCTGTAGCAGAATTTGGGTGCTGCAGTCTGTGTTTAGATGTAATCTCTTTAAAAAGTATGTTATACAGGACCTCGGCTGCAGGTTAAATTCGAACTTTTTTAGGCCTCATTTTCAAAAATATGTCAATGGATGTTGAGTGAGGAGAGGGGTTAATTTGCTTATGTAAGTTTGGAAAATGTGAGGTAACTCTCAGCTAAACAAAATTGCTTCCTGTAAGATTCTTTGTGAGTCTTTAGTACATGGATATCGAGAAGGGGCCATAGTGTGAATTTCCCAAATGTTTTACCACTGGACCACTTTCTGTGACTCATCTATCCGAACTGATATTTGTCCTCCAGACACATGGGAACCAGTGGTTTTTGACAGTAAAGAGCCACAAAGAACATTAAGACAGAATGACACGTCATAAGTACTGATTAGGAGAAAATAATATAGTGGTAGTAGGTGGGGGAAACTGATGTCCTCTGCAATGAGAGAGATGAGAAGATCAGTTGTAGTAATACATTAATAATAGAGATGAAAAATTCCATTTTAATATACAAAGTAGTAGAGTACATTTTATATCCAACCACTTCTTAGAGATGAACTACAAAGTAATAACGCTGCAAATAAAGACATGAGTATAATATGTATACAGATGAGAGCACAATCTGTCAGTCTGGGTTCCTAGAGAGACACTAAAAAGAACGGAGGATTTACAGTATTAATTGAAATGTTTATCTTTATTTTTCTAGAAATGTGAGGAGAAAGATGAACAAGCTCAGAAGAAATCAAAATAGTTTTGATTTTGAATAAGGATCTTACTATGAAGAGCCTATAGTTTTTGTTGATTAGAAATTTGTTGGGAGTTTTTCACTGATTAAGCTTTATTATAATTGTGAGAATGAAAATGAACATTCATGGATGTGTGATGATCGATAGCTAAGAAAATGAACATTATTACAGAGCTATTGACTCTATTGGAGGGAGACAGGATTATTGCGGACCTGGGAGCATGGATCAGATAGGATCGTGGGTATATCTGGATAAAGTGATCACAGGAAACAACAATTATACCTCTTGCCCAGAGACTTGGAAAACAATGAAAGGGATTACAAAAAGACAGAGAAACTGAAACGTAGCAAAAAGGCCAAATCTGATAGCTTGTTTCCAAGGACATAATCTCAGGACGGTGGATCCATTGCCCACTTTTTCTGAGGAATTTCTTAGAGAATCAAAAGAGACTGGACAAAAAATTGCCAGGAAATAAATGTGGCCCTTTTGGAGGTTAGAGAGTGTATTCATTTTCTATTGCTGCATAAAGAACTACCACACATTTAGCAGTTTAAAAACTTTCTGTTATTAACTCACAGTTCCGCAGGTTAGAAGTCTAGTTGGACTCACTGCCCAGGGCTCTCTGCTCAGGGTCTCACAAGTCTGAAGGCAAGTTGTCAGCCAAGCATGATTTAGTCAGAGGCTCTCGGGGAGAATCCTTTTCTAGGCTCAGCTAAGCTGTTGGTAGAATTCAGTTGTTGGGCTGAGGACTGGATTCTTTGCTGACTGTAAGGTGGATCACTTTCAGCTGCTAGTAGTTCATTTCCTTCTTAAAGGACTTTGGGCAGAATCTCTCACAAGCCCTCTCATAGCATCCAAGGTCAAGGCCAAGAACATGATCTCTCAAGGCCAATCCTCCTCCTTCCCTTCTCAAGTTTCAAATCTCTCTGACTTCTGCTGATACCTAGGGAAAACTTCCTGCTTTTAAAGAACTCATGTAATTACATTAGATCCACCTAGATAATCTCCCTTTTGATGAACCAAAAGTCAACTGATTAATAACCTTAATTACATTTCCAAATTTTCTTTTGCCATTTAATATAATGCGTTTAACAGTGGCATTATATTCACAGTCCAAGTGTGGGAAATTTGGGGTCCTATTTTACAATCTTGCCTATCACAGAGAGTTTAAATTAATGAAAACATAGTTTTGTACAGTTCTCTTTCTTAAAAATGTGAATTCATGTGCCTTAGGTTCTTAGAGTGTCATTGAAGTGATATAAAAAAGAAATCTAGAAAATACAACAAAGTTTTTTAAAATATGTTCTATATTATCTTTACCAGTTTTTATAAATAAATGAATTATTCTCTATTAATGTATTTAATTGCTTTTAACCAAAAACGTTTTCTTAAAATATTAAGTTTTTTTTTATAGGCACTATTTTTGTGTTTGCATTTTTGAGTTGAAATTCACTGGGTTGAGTTTTTGTGATTTATACATTGTATATTCCATATTTGTTCTGGCCAAAGTACCAGTAAAATATTGTAATAATAATTATAGAAGTAAAGTTGAAATGAGAAAGCATTGGGAAAGAATGTCAGGAATAAAGGAGAATAACACATCACCAGAAAGTTTGACTTTTGTTCTTGTCAGGTAATACTTTGAAAAATTTTAATCTAAGTTATGTAATTGAATTCTTTATCAAATAATTCTTTCAATTAATGTGCTGTGGGTGCTTGAGTAATATTGCAATAGAATATATAATAAAGTAGATAATAAGAATCAAATTATATTAACTTTTAGTATTTTAACACTATGCAGAGTACTTTATATATATTTTTTCGCAATAAAAACAGTGACCCAGGTATCTTATTGTTCCTGTTTTAGATAGAAGGGAACTGAGTTATTCAGTAACTTGTACAATGTCCAGTATCTCATGGTTAATACATATGAAAATCAGAAGTAAAATCTAAGTATGTTGGACCTCAGAAAGCAAGTCCTCTATTTTTATGCTAAATAACAACTGATAAGTGTTATAAATAATACCATTATCCTTCCTTTCCTTTTTCAGATTTGAATTTTTATGTGCTTTGTTACATATCTGTACCATACTCCCCTGCAGGAAGTAGCATGCACATCAGCTTTGTTTAACCCAACTGTACCTAAATTCACGTGACCATAAAAGAAGCCTTCTTTTTAAATTTAATACCTCTTAAAACATTTAGGGAAATGCTGATAAATAGAAATAAATTCTGGTAAGAATTTTTAAATGATTGTCAAGTTGTTTTAGCATTTCATTTTTGTTAGGGAAAAATACATTTTTAGAAACTAATATTTCAGAATTTGTGACCAATTTTTAATTTTGAAAGCTTATGAATTGTCAGTCTAGGTGCTTGGTGTAAATATTCTTTAAATGCTAAATGTATTTGTTTTAGGTTACTGAGAATATTTTACTCTGTTTTTCAATATGAAATGATCTCATTGGGTTATGTTTTTAATTATTGTTTGCTAATTAATACTATTACTTAGAAATTCTCTTAGAAGTAATAACCCTAATAGTTTCATAAGGCACCCTGAAAATTTAAATTCTCATTAAATGTTCAGCAGAGGTACATTTCATTCATAATATAGCAGTACCCTCTAGTGCTCAGGCTTGGTCATGTGTTCTCCAAAGCTGCCATACAGGGGTAAATATCATATATTGGATAATTTTACTCAGCTTTTGCTTTAAGTGAAATATTCTATTATTTATAATACCACCTTTTTGAAAATGAGTTCAGGCATTTATAATATTATTCATAAATATTACCAGCACTCTTGTGCTCTAGAGAAAATGGCTATTCCATCTATTTTGCTCATAAAAGTAAATGAAATACTTGAGAACAAAGAACCAAGAAGTTGGTTAAATTTCGTAAGTGATTTGCAAAGATGAAAGTAGGACTTAAGTCTTTTGTTCCAAGGTTCAGTTCTGTGCTATATGCATTGGACTATGTATTCGATCCAAGGAAGTTTAACTAAAGCTAAAAATGATCTACCCAAAATTCTAGAATTTTTCTGACTGAATCCTTTCTGGAATAATAGTACTCCACTTTTTGAAAAGTTATGGACTGTCGATTTACAAAACAGCACATTATCAGCCAGTATATTGCAAAGGGAATTGTATTGTGTTGGAGTTTGATTTATCATGCTTAAACATTACTTATTCAGAAATAAACAATTTTCTAGCCATACTTTCTATGAGTAAGAAGCCCTGGTTTTATTTGCTTTCCAGAGCATTATCCAAAGCTTAATGACAGAGCTAATATGCAGATTGTAGCCCTTTTGGCTGTAAGACCTTGCTCATAATTTATTATCATTTCAGTAGTTTTTATTTTCTTGTAGACTTAATTTGGTTGAGGTGTCTACATCAAAATAGTGGCCCCACATGAGAAAATAATTCTAATTTCTACATATGTTTCTGAACAGCATTCTTGGATGATTTGAATTTACTCTTAATAAATGTTTCTTATATCCATATTTAGTTGTTACAGGGTAGATCACCCAAACCAGACAAGTGGGAACTTCAGATGGGCAGCGGTGGTGGCATGGTTGAACAGATCAGCGGGGACTGTGATGATGAAGATGGTTGTGGAGGCTCAGGAAGTGGAGAAGTCAAGAGGACACTAAAAGTCACAGACTGTAAGTGTATGATTCTAACGTCATTTTTAAATAATTGATTTTGGAATGTAATTAAGGAAAATTATTATATGAATGTAAAGGAACAATGAAAGTGAATTTAGAAGCTTGTGGGAAGAATAAAAATGAAAATGAACCTATTTTTAGTTATTTAGGATATGCATTCTTGGGGGTTTTGTTTATTTTTAACTTACGGCTTTAAATGGAAATAACATTTTTCTATGAAAAACTAGTGAATGTTCATCAGCTCTGAGAATTAAAGGTTTTAAAGTGGGATAATCCTTAGGGCATGAGATAACTTATAGTAGATAAAAAATATATATTGGCAAATAATGTGAAGACAGGATGGATAAACACTACTAAAAATATTCTATAATTTCTATATTATGCCATAACATAAAAGATATTTTATTTTATTAGGTTTTCAGCATAGTCAAATTACAAATAAATTGGTTAAATATTTGGTTAATTATGATTTAAATCCACTTGGATTTAACCCTTATGAATTTTCTCTTCCACTATGCTTACCAGTCATTCACTTTCTTTTGATTGTATAGGTTTGAAAAACATTTTTATTATTATTGGACTGGTCACTACCACAAAAGAGGGAACCGCTAAATTTAAAAAAAAAAAAAAATCACCAAATGAATTTTCTTTTCTTAACATACAAAATGAGGAATATAAGTTCTCCACCTTCCATTGTTATATATACATCTATTTGCTCACATGGATGAGACAACCAAAGTTATCAACTGAGAAAGAAGAGATAGTCAGTGTACCCAGAGCAGTTAACTTTCAAGTATTCATTTATCTCAGGTCATACCAAAGGCAATTATTTTATAAAGTAATCTTCTGGACTCATGCCCTACATGGAGGCTGGTCTGATAGTCTCCCTCTAAATCACAAGGGGCTGCTTTGAACCTTTTAGACATGTCTTTTTGTGACTTTGGTGAGAGAAGAATTCATTTACCTTTCAGTTCTCTTGTAGTTAATTTAGAACACCATTAATGCTTTAAGCATCTATACCCCATTCCTTCTAGGATCTTGTTTTACAAGCCAAACATATTGGTTAAAGGAATGCAAGCCAAAAAGGTACAAAATCAAAGACACAGTTAATATAAAGAAAATCGTTTTCCTGTTAGACACAGTAATAAATTTAAGATATAAGGTAATAAGGTGAAATTTAGTGCACTGGAACAGCAATTAAACAAAGATCCACAAAATTCCTCACTGTACTTCTAGTGAAAGTCAATTATCTTCTACTCTTGTCGGAGCAGATGAGGATATATGTTCTTGTTATTGGCTTTAATATAGTTTATCACAAGAAGAACAAAATGAAAACAAAAGGGTTTTATTAGAAAAAAATATTTTTACTACGAGTTAAAATGTCCTCCATTGTATTTTGGAATTATGATATTTATCTATTAGGATAATGCTGAATAATCTTTCATTTTTTATCCTATCTTTAGTATTGATACATACTGTAATTTCATTGCTATTTGAGTATTAGCAGGGTTCTTAAAGCATAAAAATTCTTACAAAAAAATAACAGGTTGAAATTTCATCTATAAAGTGTGCATGTATATGTGTGTAGAATTAGCATTTGTATAGGGATTTTTCACTCCTGAAGTTATCTATAAGCTCAAGAACTTGTTATATATTCATATATAACCCTCTTTGGTTTGTTTTACAAGAGAAGTAGAGGCAGTGAAAAATGTTTACCTACTAATAGTTTTCTCACAGAACCATACCTGTCAAGGTGGTAAGAATGAATTTTTTACTTCCAAACCCTGTGTTTCAATTACTGATGAGATGGACAAGTATAATAAATACAAGCAACTATATATCATAATTGGGGAGATTTAAGATATACATGGTTTTCAGCAACATGGTATCCAGGTAAATATTCAAAAGTCCACATCTGCTATATGTAGTTTGCCTATTCAGATTCTAAATATTTATAGCTGTTGCATTTCAATTTTTAATAAGTGGTTGGGAATCCACTGTGGATAGCATGCTGAAATAGAAAGGGACAAAGAAAATAGCAAAGGGTAAGTCATATTTCTATTTTTATAAAGCACTATAATATTTTCCTTGGGTTTGGCTAGTTTGATATATTGGTAAAGCAAGTTAAGGCATAGTTTTACATGGATGGTCTTAATGGCTTTAAAATATTGTGCTCTAGAAAGTTTACCAGAGTGTCATTGTGTTTAGAGCTTGAAATATATTATTATTTCCACCTTACGCTGATGTTTATTCTTTATAAAATGCCACATAGGTAGAACACAGTTCATTTGTCACCTCAGAAATAAATTTACTTACTTATTTATTTCTATATATAATTATAAGGAATAAAACTAATATCATGTCCTGTAAGTTTAATAATTTTCTTCAATATATGCAAATGTTCAAGTCGTTACATATTTTACTCATCATCACTTGAAATGATTTTCTGTTTCTCTTATGTTTGTTTCAGGCAGCACAGGGGACTATGTACATCAATGTGCAAAATTTTACCATCAAAATATTTATCTTTTAGGTATCATTGTGTTTTCATCACCAATAGTATCAAAGAATTTTAAAATTTTTAGCTTTTTAAACTATATTTGTATCCCCCCTGTAGATCGTTATTAAATGTTATGTTTGATATGTTTCTTATATTTTTTTAAAAAACCATCCATATTCTGTAGTGTTCACTCTTAAGAAACTAAAAATATTTTCCTGTTTTAGTTGAATGATTTTAAAATCTCAATATTTCAGAAATTTATTATACATTTTTATCGTGTTGAATTTGGCTCATTTATATAGGTATGTATATTTCACTAGTAATCTACTATTGCAGGATTGAAATGGTTTAAACCTTCATTTCAGCTCACCTTTGACACCTACCATCCTTTCAAATTAGCTGACTGATGCAGGTCGTAAACACCAGTGGAAAAAACAAGTTCTCTTCATTTAGCCATACAGAGCAAACCTACTCTCACTATCATCAATATTTTTACAACTATTTGGCTGTTCTTCTATCCCCAAATTCTGATGGTTTAAAATGTTGAAAAACAAACCAGAGCACTACTAAAGACAAGCTGTAACAAAAATTATTCGATGTGTATTTTTGAAAATTTGCAGTAGCATTGCTTACAATTCTAACATGATATTATAATTTAAATTGCAACAACTCTGTTTAAAAAAAAAAAACAAAACAGATAATATGTGATCCATAATCAAATTCATCTTGATAAGATGGTTCACAGTAATAATCTCAGGCAAAATGAATTTAATCACAAGTTGATTGAGATGCTAGACTTTGAAAAAATAGTAGGGTGATTTTAAGTCTTCAAATTGCTTGGAATAATTCATCTTTGCTTATTCTCATATTCATTATTGTTCAAACAATATTATATAGCACGTTTAACAGTTTTAAAACTAATTTTGCTTTAACTAAGAAACCTGTAAATGACAACTTAGTCTGTCAAAGGTGTGTTCAAATGACGTGTTTTCCAGTAGTGCTCTCAACATGTCTCTTCATGATAGTTATGATGCCAATTTGTAAAGACTGGTGCATTCAGAGTACCAGTGTGGCATTCTGATCCCTGGGTCCTCCTGCATTGCCTCTTATGCAGCCACCCGAAGTCATTCTTTAGAAGGACTGTTTACTATTAGGTTCTTTTCTTTTCATCTGTTCTTCCTCTTCTCTTCAATGGGTTCTTTTCATCATCCCACTTTCTAAATATTTAAGGAATTCAGGACTCAGATCTCAAACCTTTTATCATCTTTATTTTCAACTATTCCCTATTCTACAAACTACCTATTTAATCATAATAGCAATAATGATATTGTACCCTGACATTGATAGCACTATCTAGTTTAAAAGCATTCTCCTATGTGTTATCTCAGGTAGTAGGCTTAGCAAAACAGAAAATATTACAATGAAACTAGATTAATTTAGAAATAAATTAACTTTTTATTTCTAAATTATTTCTAAATAACATTGAAATCAAGATACTAGATCTAGAAAAAAAACCGGTTTATCTTCTGTAGCCTAGAATAAAAAGTACTTGTTTCTTCTATGGTTTATATTGTACTTTGGATTTGTCATTTAGTAACCAATCTTAGATCAGCCTCTAACAACTGCTCTACAACATTGTACTAACAATGACCTTGGAAGAGAATAGTGCATTCCATATGCATAGTAAAATGAAAATGCTACTTTGCTAGCCACTTAAGAATAAAGGTTCCTGATTTACGTTCAGTCCTTGAACAACATGAGTTTGAACTATGTGGGTCCACTTATACACAGATTTTTTCGATAAGTATATAGAGTACTGTAAATGTATTTTCTTTTTTATGATTTCCTCAATAACATATTCTTTTCTCTAGCTTGCTTTATTGTGATAGTACAGTATATAATACATGTAACATTGAAAATATGTGTTAATTGACCGTTTATGTTATTGGTAAGACTGCTCGTAAATAGCAGTCTATCAGTAAAGTTTTGGGAGAGTCAAAGTTATACATAGATTTTCAGCTTCATGGGGGTTGGTAGCCCTAACCTCTGAGCTGTTCAAGGATCAACTCTATGTAGTCATACAGTAGTCTCCCCTTATTCACAGTTTCCTTTTCAAGGTTTTAGTTACCTGTAGTAAACCACAGTCCAAAAACATTAAATGAAAAATTTCAGAAATAATTCATAAGTTTTAAATTGCACACCATTTTGAGGTGCATAATGACATCTCACACTATACTGTTCCTTCTCACTGGAGACATAAATCATACCTTTCTCCATTGTGTCCACACTGTATATGCTTCTCGCATATTAGCCATTTAGTAGCCAACTTGGTTATCAGATTGACTGTCACAGTATTGCAGTGCTTATGTTCAAGTATCTCTCATACGAGTCTAATGCCATGGCACAATGCCTATCTCACTCCATCTCATCACATAGGCATTGTATTATCTCACATCATCTCACTCCATCTCATCACATAGGCATTGTATTATCTCAC